GACATTTGCTTTTTGGCTTTCGCCATTTGAGCACGGGCTACGAGCTCATTGCGCTTGTTGCGCATTTTGTAGAACTCGTCTTTCATGTCATGGAGCTGCTGTACCAGTTCTTTGGCCTGCGCCTCGGATTGAGCATGCAGTTCTTGGTACTCGGACAGTTTTTGGTCAAAATAAATCTTTTCCTCGAGCAGCTTGCGCGCTACTTCTTCCTGGCCGTTACGAAGTGCCAGTTCAGCTTGAGCCTCACGTTGGCCGGCCATCTTCACGGCTTCTTCCACGCGCTGCTTCATGCGGCGCTCATTGGCCATTTGCTTCGCTACTGTAACTTCCGCGTCATGGATTTCTGCCTCCATATCGCGCAGATACTGGTTCAGCATAATTACCGGATCTTCAACTTTATCCAATACCTCGTTCACCGATGCTTTCGTCATATCCTTAATTCTTTTAAATACTCCCATGTTTTACACTTCTCCCTTCTCGTACTTAGATAATTTTTTTTTCAATTCCTCAAGCTCTTTCTTCATGGCTTTCTTCTCGATATCTTCCATCATGGCGTCCAGGTCGGATGCGGACGAGCTGTATCCGCCCGGTCTGCCTCCGCCGTAAGCCGAACCGTTGTATTTGGCTCTAGGGTCAAAAGATTGGGCACCATAAGCGCCATTGCCTTGCTGACCGTTGCCGTAGTAGCTGCCGGATCCCATACTATTGCCGTAGTATCCTCCCCCAGCTACCCCCGGTCCCGGTCCATATGGATTAAAAGGTGTCGTTGGTTCTTTAGGGATGACCAAAGCCGCGATAAAGTAGATGAACAGCGTGGTCCCGCCGGTAAATGGGATACTGATCAAGAACAGGATCCGCAGCAGCGTGGAATCGATGCCCAATGTATCGGACAGACCTCCGCACAAACCGGTGACCATTTTATCGCGGGTCGATCGGTATAGCTTGCTCATGACGTTACTCCTTTCCGCTGTTGTTCAGCTTTTCCTTCAGGCGGGCCAGCTCCCTTTCCAGCACGCTGGATACCGTTCCGCTGGCTTGTTCGAACAGTTCCTGACCGCCGCGGCGCAGGTCGCGCAGACTGCGTGCTTCAAATTCCCAATCGGAAATGCGGTCTTCCAGACGGTTGAACATCTTGGGAACATCCTGTCCGCCAAAACCTTCCATGCGCTGATTCATCCGCTGCTGAAGTCTGAGAGTTTCCATCCGTGCCGCGTAGTATTGACGTTTGCTGTACACGGTTTGGTACTCCAATTTCAGGTCGTTCAGTTGATTTTCCAGCTCGGTGAGCGACTGGCGGGTTGTATCCAGCAGTCCTCCGTATTGCTCGAGCTTTTCTTCATAGATGATTTTTTCCTGCAGTGCGAGCTTGGCTAGATGATCCTCGCCGGCCTTCAGAGCCAGCAGCGCCTGCTCCTCACGCTTTTCCTTCATACTGGATGCCTGATCCACTTGCTGCTTCAGCTGTCTCACATGAGCGGAGTACTGCTGAACGAGCTTCTCGGCTTCCATAATATCGTCACGCGTTGATGCCAAAAACTGATCGATCAACCGTACCGGGTCCTGACTTTGTTCCAAACGTTCATTTAATGTCGCTACGGTGATATCCCGTACCCTGCGAAATACGCTCATCTGTTTTTGCTCCCTCCTTATAAGCTGTGATCGCCTATTCGTTTGATTGTATTTATTGAAGGTAATTCTTTGTTACCGTTACATCCACTTCGACGACTTCTTACCTTTCAGCAGCATAATCCCGAACACTACCAGGGCAATTCCCAGCAGCGGTCCGATGATCCAGGACAGCTTCGCCAGAAGTCCCATGACACCGAATGCGAGGATAATCGTACCGATGACCACCTTACCTCTGCGAATTCCATAATAGCCGAGCACGATCATCAGGATCGGGAAGATCAATCCGATCAGCCTGCCGAATAAAGGAGCGAATACTCCCAGGAGCATCAGTACTCCGATTGCGATCAATACGATCGCCCAACCAGAAGTTTTATTTGTTCTCATGCTTTGTCACCGCCTTTCGTTTGTATCAACCTTATGACTCTATTTTAGGTTCTATCCGGGTTTTCCAAAACGGACCCCAGACGGTTTTTAATCCTAGACCTAAGTCGGGGGAAGGCTCGGACCTTAGACGAAGCAAGCTTTTTCTGCATGGAACGCGGCAGCCACATCCTCCACTGAAGCTCCAATATCCCGTTTATAGGGCATGATCGAAACGCTATGGGAACTTCAATGATCAGTTTACTTAAAACAATGCTTGGGATAGGGATCGTTGGAGGCTCTGAGCAAGGGATTTAGCACTTAGCTAAAGAAACATTGAGCCTGTCTAACCCAGGTAAAGCCGGCTGGAATGGTTTATCAACTTTAAACAAGGATGGGGAAAACGTTCAAAGGGAGTAATGGTAGATCGAACGGATTAAATCAGAGATCTTTTCCAGGGCTGTTGTACGCCCTCTTGATCCCATCTTACGAGGACATGTCATATAAAGAGAACATCCATGCGGATAGGACCTACATAAGACAACAGAATACGAATTAAACGCCATACAAGCCATACAAATAAACGCAATACGAATTAAAATGGCCGCCTTTCTGCGGGATATCATCAGGTGGCTGATTGGAAGGAGAAGTTCAATATAGCGGGATGGGAGATTAACGAACGACGAACGATGGCCTCGGTGTACAATGTTAGTCTATACAAGAAAAAGCCTTGGAAAGATATCCAAGGCTTTTCTCTATGATGCCGGTGAAGGGACTCGAACCCCCACGGTTTCCCTCACGATTTTGAGTCGCGCGCGTCTGCCAATTCCGCCACACCGGCATATTCAGTTAAAAAAATGGCGCGCCCTAAGAGATTCGAACTCCTGACCTTTTGATTCGTAGTCAAACGCTCTATCCAGCTGAGCTAAGGGCGCATATG